AACCCGCGGGCTCAGGCAATCCACTCACCTCAGCCTCCCAAAGGCGCGGGATTACAGGCTGAGCTACTGAGCCCGGCTTCGTCTTTTTGATAATAGATATCCTAACAGTGTGAGGTAATATCTCACTGTGGTTCTAATAACAAAACTGGATTTCTTTTGGAAGGATATTAAAGCAGAGGTTGTCAAATTATTCCCATAAAGGGCCAAATAGTAAATACTGTCAGCTTTGTGGACCATATGTTTTCTCTTGTAACTACTCAACTCTGCCATCACAGAGTGCAATAACCATAGACAATTTGTAAATGAACAAGCATGATTGCATGCCAATAAAGCTTTAGTTATAACAACAAACTGAAGACTGGATTTGGTGAGTGGGCCTCCATTTTTTGACCCTTATATTTAGAAATTCCAAAACCATCGGGTGTTTGGACCACAGGCTTGCATATGAGTGGGTGTGTAGGACTCAGTATATGCATCGACCCAGATCTACTTGACCTTACAAATCCACACTTGCCTTAGCCTCTTGCTTTGCCATTTCCATGAATAAAGCCCAAACTATAGCCATGGCTGGGCCTGCACTGCAGATGAAAGAACCCTGGGTTTACCACTTAAGATGACACTAGAGAAGTCACTCATTAAATAGGGAGTTCAGCTGGATCAGAAATGATGTGCTTATACCTTCAGGCAGGTGTCACCTTCCCAAGTGCTAAGAAGAGAAAGACTTTGAGGTTACACTGAGTTCATTAGGGAAAAAAAAAGTGTGATTGGTTAGTTATGTCTGCCATGGGCATCAGGCTAGAAAGGTGACATGCTTACTAAATATTTTTGATTCTGTAACTAGCCCACCTCCAAGGTCACTTAGCATTCTGAAAAGCTACTATTCTATATCTGGAGATTTCCTTGGGAACATTCTGGAGATGGATCAACTATGCAAAATATAGCCTTTCAGCATGGGAGCATGGCCATCTTTACAAATTTCCAACACATTTGGTTTCATGATGGGATAGGACGAAGCTCTTGCTCTCTGTTTATGATAGACACACCCGGGAGGAAGCTGGCCATGGAGAAATAGAAATCAAATTCATAACTCCTTTCATATCAGCTTTATGGTTTAAGCACAAGTTCAAAGATTTCAACACATTCTTTCAAAGTTTGACAACTGTTTATTGAGCACTCATTATGTGGATCAAAGGCTTGTTTCCGGCCCTCCAGAAATTATAATTTTTAGTGTCTCATCTTAGGAGAGGGCGGTATCAACTAGAAAGTACATTAGGAATGACTTCCTGGAAAAAGTAGGGGTGGAAGGTAGTAGAAAAAGAGTGAAGGAAGAAAAAGGGCCCTTCCCTTGGGGAAATGGTGATAGTAAAGGCTTGGAGGTGGAGGTAGATAAGAAGACCTAAACCTTGTTGGGAGAGTGAATTTGTAGTGTGGAAATAAGTGTGGTATAGGGTGGAATTGGAAGGGTATGATAAATCAGGATGTGGGATTTGGACTTGCTCTCTAAATAATAGGACTCATCGTGTCTTCTTGTGCGTTCCAGGGAGATCGCTTTTACAGAAGGTACGGAGGACAGATGGCAAGTGAGATGGGCATGCAGGGAGACAAGGAAGAATGTTGGTTGCAAAGATGAAGGTGTGAAGGATGAGGACTTGAGCCTGGGCAGTAAATGTCAGGGAAGAGAAGACAGGCATGAAATTGTTTTGGCATCAGCCTGGGCTGGGCTTGGTATCTGATGGCGTATTAAGAACACAAGAGAAGAAGGGTCAAAGATAACGGCAGAACTCTGAATCTGGGGTCTGAGGTTAAGGACCCCAGGGTATGCTTGAAGGAAAAGATTCATCTTTAATTCTTAAGTTTTCAGTGATGGTGGATGCATCATTTGAGCAGGAAAGGTCAAAGCTATAGATGGGGCTAGGCATGTTGGCTCATGCCTGTAATCCCAGCACATTGGGAGGTTGAGGTGGGAAGATCACTTGAGTCCTGGTGTTCAAGACCTGCCTGGGCAACAAAGTGAGACTCCATCTTTTTAAAAAAAGCTAGAGATGAGAAGACACAGGCCAGATGGGAAGACAATGCAGCTGATCCAACTTCCAGCCCAGTGCTAGAATTCCATGGAAGTAATTTTGGCTGATGGCTACTGAGAATTTCTAGAAATCTTCCAGAAAGCTCTTATTTCCAAGAAAGGAAGACTTTTTATTAGGCATCTCTACTAACTGGAAAATATTTCTGATGGATCAAGACTTAGAAGTTAGTTAGAAGGAGGTTGGGTTGGAAGTCAGACCCTGACTCTGCCTCTGCCTTACTGTCTTGCATTTGACAAGTTATTTGACCTCTGGGTCTCTAATTACATTGTCTGTAAAGTAACAGGGTGAGCTGGGCTTGGTGGCTCAGCCTGTAATCCCGCGCCTTTGGGAGGCTGAGGTGAGTAGAT